CGCAGGCGTTGCGTGACGTCAGAACGACGCCGAGCTCCGATTGGCTTTGATTAAAACACAATGCGTGAACCTCAATTCTAGGCGCCTTGAGGTCTACTCGCTATTCTATTCAATCAACCATGAAGAGCTCGGCGTTTTGACATGATCCCAACCCTTTTCGAAGAAGCAGACCAACTTTCGTTTCGCATACGATTCAATGCTAAAACGAAATATGTGGCGCCGTAGAATAAAACCTTTACGCATACAAAGGTACATTACTGCACATTGATATTTTAGGATTGCGATCTAAAATATTCCCAGGCAACATTGCGATGCTTGTAGTTGTTCAGTTAAAATTACCATTTGAGTGCATGCGCCGAGGTGTCAATGTCTAAAAAAAGTGGTAAATGGACAAGAGAGAATGCGTGTACACGTGTCGGGGCCAACAGTAAAATGCTGTCTGCAACACAGGGAGCACGACACACCAAAAATATCGTGTCGCGTTACACGCAGCGTCATGTGCCTCTAAGAAACAGCGGTTCTCGAACTGTAATCTGCGGACCCCCAGGGGCCGCGGTCCGCGCATATTCGAGGGCTCTGAAATGACCAACTGAACCTGTCTTTTTACGGGAAAAGCAGTCACAATCTTCAGTGTGCATGACAAGATTGATGCAGTTGTTGAGAACCTGGATGTTTGAAGCAGCCGGATGGAAAACAAAGTTTTAGACTCTTTTCTCCGGTTGATGAAGCCAATCAGACAGCGTCAAATGCGTACCATCGTGGCGTTCGTCACGTTTATGTCCGTGTTTCATCGTCCCTGAACCAATCATAAACGAAAAATAAAATGCCCAGTGACTTGCGCTTTTGACGCCGCTTGATTAGTCCTATTAACTCGTTGCGTCGGCTACGTCTGTACTTAAAGGAGCTGTGCAACGATATTCAGTTGGAATGTTTTTCACTATACACGAGCTTACTGGCACTAGTGGGAGTCAAGGATACCCGCACGCAACGCCACTGGCCAAGAAACTCCTTTGTTGCGGTGAAACTTCAAGGACAAAAGCAATTATTTTCGTTCAATCTCTCCTTTGCAAATTTGATGACGTAACGTGGGGATCGCAGAACACCCAAGTGACGATATTTGAATGCGGTTCATAGATTGGACCCGAGCCCTGCGTGGGCACTCGATTTGGGCTCGTGATAATTACTAGCTCGAGAAGCATTCGGGTAGTCGCCCGCGTCCAATCGCGGCAACGACGACAATGGCCGAGCCATAACAATATCTGGAACTCAGCGCGTGTCCTGTGCTTTGCCAACCCCAGCGCGTGGCTATGATCAACATTGGCGGCATATAATCGGCTCCAGATCGCGTGGCCGCTTGTTCTGGCTGCGAGTTGAGGGGGTAAACGCTGCTCGTTTTTCTTTAATTTTTTTCTGGGACTTCTATTGCCTGAAGTGAAAAACGAACACGTGTTTCATAGGTCATTAACGTCGGGGATCTGTTCTAAGCGGTATTTGCGCAAAGTACAAAAATTGTTGCATCGCCCCTTTAAGCTGAAACGAAGTACACAGTGTCCTGGGTATGAGACAAGGTCGATCGACTTACTTCGACACCTTGATGTCCCTGTGAAGAAAGCCGCGCAGATGCATGTGTTCGACGGCCAGGATTAGCTGAGCCATGATCTGCACGGCGTCGATCTCCAGATACGCTTCCTTGGTGACGACGTGCATCAGGTCCAGTCCAGCGATGTACTCCATGATGGTAACGTATGCCTCCTTTAAGTATGCCACAGGTAATACGTCACTTATGAGGATATTATAAAGCCAAAATAAAACTTTTGGCAACGTGCGGGTTTAACAAAGAATGCGATTGTTGCAATGTGCTTGGTGGAATCTCTATGCATTACTTTAGCTACCGTCTTAATTTGACAATTTGTTCGGTTCATCGTGCCCAGCATAAGGTGACTTCGAATAGCAACGGAGTCGGCTTTTAAAATATAGACCATTCGAAGATATAAAAGTCCTCAGACCAGCACGCGCATGTTTGTCGCTTCGCAAAGCGAGCAAATCTCGCGCCATACGCACGAACATTGAAAATAGATCCTGCCAGGAACCCTTTTTTGGAAACTTTTTTTTTTGAAACGTATAAAAAGTGAAAGCCGTTTACAACTCCCTGTAACGCCGAATTGGAGCGCAGCTCTTGAGGAGGACGAGGGAAGGGTACTGAGGGGAGGGTAGACCCCTCCTCCTCCTTCTTCTCCTCCTCCTCCCCTCATTCTTTAATATGCTCCGGGGGGTCACCTGACCTCGGGGGGAGGGGGTCACGTGACCTCGGGGGGGGGGGTCACCTGACTTCGGAGGGGAGGGAATCACGCGACCTCGGCGAGGGGCCACGTGACCTCGGGGGGTCACGTGACCGCGGGGGTCAAGTGGGGGTCACCTTGGGCGGTCTCGTGACCTTGAAATGACCGAGGGAGGGGTCACGTGACCTGGGGGTCACGTGACCTTGGGGTGACCTTGGGAGGGGTCACGTGACCTTGGGGTGACCTTTGGGGGCCACCTTGGGGGGTCACGTGACCTTGAGGTGACCTAGGGAGGGGTCACGTGACATCGGGGGTCACGAGACCTGGGGGTCACGTGACCGTGGAGTGACCTTGGGAGGGGTCACGTGACCTCGGGGGTCACGTGACCTTGGGGGTCACATGACCTGGGGGTCATATGACCTGGGGTGTCACGTGACCTTAGGGTGACCTTGGTTACGCCGACGGCGACGCCGACGCCGCTCAAGCCGGAAACGGGCGCCTAAGAGCTGCGCTCTAAAAGGGGGGGGGGGGAGGAGCCGCCTGCAAGTCACGAGTGGCAGGCTGTAGAGAAACGCCTAGAGACGTGGAGGCCCCGAGACGAACGCGTCCGTCTGCGTGGGGGCCGGGGCGGGACGAACTGAGGCTCTGGTCGCTCCGGTCCTCCCGGGGCTGGAGCAGGGCTGGGCGTGTAACTCTTGGTCGGAGGACAGGGAACGTGGGAGCAAAACCGGGGCGCTGATCCATTTGTTGCCTCCTTCTTTTGGGGAGGGGGGGGGGGGGGGAATCTCGGATAAGCGTTTGATTCTGCTGTTTCGCCGACATCGAAGACTGCGACGCTAACCTTCTTTTATTTTTGTTTTCGGCAAAAGTTCGCCCTATTAAGTGCCGCGTTCACACACTTGCAACTGAGTAACACCGAGAAAGACAAGACCGGTTTTTAAGCTTCTTGCGACGTTTTAGGACCGGGTGCACTTTGGTTGCCGTTTGGGGCGGATCGAAGATCCAATAACGATCGACGACGTCACGCGCAGAACTTGTCTTGTCGGTGCCACAGTCTATGGCATGCCAGCTCTTTACTAGAATTGTGCGAATATTCGAATTTTTGAATGGCAGTTTCAAATATAGCGCTACATCAAGGGTAGGCAACCGGCTGCCTGCCCGCAAGGCATAATTACACGTCCCCCGGCACTCCACCCACAATGCCCCCCCCCCCCCCCTCCACCCTAAACACACACCAGGAAAAAGGTTATGCTAGCTTGTAAACCCGGTATAACCGGACGTATATGAACTCGGAACAAGTTCGAGAGAATTCTCAGATAGAGTTAACTGATCAGCTGGTCCCCAAACAGACAATAAGCTGAAGAATGCCCTTGCAGGTAACTGGCCTGCCTGAATTAAAAATTTTAAATCTACAGAATCTGGCAGTAACGTTGGTGTCCAACAAAAAAAATTATAATGATTTTTTTTCACCGAAAAAATAAACTGTGCATCACCGAACGCTCATTATCCAAAAGTTATAAGGAATTTTCTGAAATTTTCAACGGGAAAATGGCGGCCGATGGACCGTTTAGAGAACAAGGAGCTCTACGACGCCAGTTACCGAAAACGAGCGAAAAGGGGCCCCACTTTCTTATTAAAAATTTCAAAAAATCGCTTCTTGTTCGCGCCTCTAACGCTACGTTTGGGATGAGAATGAGCGTTCAGTGACGCATAGTTTATGTTTGCAGTTAAAAACCTTGTTATTTTTTTTTTTTTTGCACCTTGTATATATTTGGGGACATACTTTTTTCAAGATTAAGAGTGTGAAGTCAAACGTGGGTCTTGCAAATGGCAGGTAGGCACCTTTAAAATGGTTTACGGCTTTCAGCTGGGCGTTTTAATGTGAATGTTCGCATCGGTGGCAAGCAATAATGAACACACAAATTCTTACTCGGAGGGGAATCGAGCAGTATTACGTAAAACATCTTTGCTTCGTTTTCTCTCTCTTTTTTTATCGTCTGCTTGGCGGCGATTAGGCCAGCACCAGTAAAAAGGTTGCTGACCTCTGCGCTATTTAATATTCTCTGAGAAATAAACCGCGATATTATTTTTTTCTCTCTTTTTTTTTTTTTTTTTTTTTTTTTACTTTTGAAGTGTTGATTGCAACGAGCCACGGCTCTGCAGCGCGCTAACCCCGTTGAGTGCGCCTCTTACCGAGCACGGGTGCACTGCGGAGAAACCATATCAGCGAAGCTCGCTTCCGCAGGTGTGGCTTCTCCGCAGTGCACCGCTGCTCGCTAAGAGGCGCACTCAACGGGGCTAATTCATCCCTGGAGGACAGGAGCGTTGAAGACACGGACAAGTAGAAGAACAGGGCAGGACAGGACAAAGCGCTACAATCAACTGGCGGTTAGGACTAGTTCCGGCTGGGTTTATAGTGACAAGTGTTTCGTGTGGGCGTCGTTTTTGCAATGTCTGATTTCTGTGAACAGCGTGCGGCGGTTAAATTCTGTTTTTTGCTCGGAAAAAGTGGAACAGAAACTATTGAACTGTTAAAAACGGCGTACAAGTGTAGTGTCCTTGATTTAGCGAAATCGACTATACGGGTTGGCAACAGTGGTGTATCAGAAATGGCGGATTAAACGAACGTAAATTACCACGCTGCAGTCCTCAATCCAAGCAATCCCTAAATACTCCAGCACCACAATGGTGTCAGAAGTGCCGTCCGTGGTAACGGAAGACTCCTAGAACCCGTGCACCACGAAATCATCGGCGAGCACCGCCACAGCAATCAACGGAACGGGTCAACATGGCACACACGCTGCCCCCGTTTCCGAGCTTCAACGTCCAAGCGACGGATGCCAACAACATCGGCCTCGAGTGGGCCAAGTGGGTGGACAGGTTCGAGAACTTTCTCGTTGCGTATAACATTACGTCGGACGTACGCAAGAAAGCGCTCCTCCTTCATTACGCCGGTGAGGAAGTGCATGATCTCTACCGGTCTCTCCCGGACGACTCGTCATCGGCAACTGTCAGCAGCACCGCGCAAGGCGCAGCGAGAACGTCAACATCTGAGTACGACGCCGCGAGAGCAAAGCTCGACGCTCACTTCGCACCAAGAATCAACCCAACATTCGCCATTTATCGTTTCCGACAAGCACAACAGAACGTCGGTGAGTCCCTCGATGCTTTCTATGCGCGGCTCCGGCAGCTGTCTCGTCATTGCAACTTCCCAGACGTTGATCTCGAGGTAAAGAATCAGATCATCATCGCGACCACATCCACGCGCCTGCGGAAGTATGCCATACTGCATTCGCTGGACTTGCCGGATATCCTCAAGCAAGGACGCATGTTCGAGGACGTGGAGCACGATGTGTCTAAAATCGAGCGGAGCGCCGACAAGCCAGTCCTCGCAGTACGAAAGGATGAGCAGCATCGCGGCAGCAAGCCAAAAAGAAGTTTGAAACCGCCTCAGCGACCAAACTACCAGGCACAACATCACAGCCTGTCGACAGATTGTCACAACTGCGGTGGCAAATGGCCACATGGCGGCGGACGATCAAACTGTCCTGCATGGGGAAAAACATGCAAAGCCTGCAACAAGATCGGACACTTTGCCAAGGTGTGCCGTTCATCAAACAAGACAGTACAAACTATCAGCCAGACCCGCCAAGACAGCAGTTCAAGCGGTGAAGAACACGTTTTTGTAGCAAAAACATTGCCTCCAGCAAGCACGTCTCCCAAAGCTGTCATCAGAGTCGACAATGTTCCAATCACCTTCGTGATTGACACGGGTGCAACCGTGTCGGTTGTTGGTGAAGATGAGCTCCGGAACTGTCACCTAGATGAGAAACTGGAGAAAACATCCGTAAAGGTTTTTCCATACAAAGCAACGTCTCCTCTGCAACTTCTGGGAAAAGTCTCAGTCAGCATGATGTACAAGGAAAGGTGCAGTCAAGAGGACATCTTCGTCACCCCAGGAAGCTGCGCACCACTCCTAAGCTTTGCAGCAGCATCAAATCTTGGTCTTATTCGAATCACATACCAAGTCGAAGACTCTCCAACAGGAAAGTCGATCGTGGAATCATTCCCTAACTTGTTCAAAGGAGTTGGCAAACTCAGAGAGCAGCAAATCCACCTCTTCGCGGATGAAACTGTTCCTCCCATCGCTCAACCGCACCGACGCATTCCATTTGCAGTGCGAGCACTTGTGGAGACAGAACTCGACCGTCTCCTGTCAGAGGACATAATCGAGCCAGCAGTTGGACCCACACCATGGGTGTCTCCAGTGGTTATTGTACCGAAACCACACCACCCTGATGAGATCCGTATGTGCATCGACATGCGCCTTGTGAACACTGCCATTCAACGAGAGCGACATCTGTGTCCAACAGTTGATGACATCATCGTAGCTCTCAACGGAGCAACCATTTTCTCAAACCTTGACCTGAAAAACGGCTATCATCAGCTGGAACTGGACGTGTCTTCGAGACGACTAACAACATTTTCAACGCACACTGGTTTGTTCCGCTACAAACGTCTTAACTTCGGCATCAGCAGTGCAGCAGAAATCTTCCAGAACACAATTCGCCAAGTGCTAAACGGCATCCCAAACGTCCTAAATGTCAGTGATGATATTCTGGTCTTTGAAAAGACGAAAGAAGAGCATGACGCCGCTCTAGATGCAGTCCTACATCGACTTCAGGAATCAGGACTAACGCTCAATGAAAAGAAGTGTCACTTCCACCAGCGAGAGCTGACCTTCTTCGGGCTCATTTTTTCATCAAAGGGTGTTAGCCCAGACCCTAAGAAAATCGAGGCTTTCCTACAAGTAAGAGTACCAGAGTCTCCTCAAGAGGTGAAGAGTCTTTTGGGAATGGTCAACTACTCGGGTCGGTTTTTACGAAACCTTGCTGACCTTACTCAGCCACTGCGTGAACTGACGCTAAAGAATGCAACCTGGGAGTGGACTGAACGACACCAGAAAGCCTTCGACGAACTGCGGCGCGTCATGTCAGACGCATCTACCCTGTCCTACTTCGATCCAGCCAAGCCGACAGAGCTGGTTGTAGATGCAAGCCCGCACGGACTTGGTGCCATTTTAACACAACGAGATGGTGCACAGGTCGCAGTGACAGCTTATGCAAGCAGAGCATTAACACCAGTCGAAAGCCGCTACTCCCAAATCGAGCGAGAAATGTTGGCAGCAGTATGGGGCATGGAACACTTTCGGCTCTACTTGTGTGGTGCAAACTTTCTTTTATTGACACACCACAAGCCCCTGGTGAGCATCCTGGGAAACCCAAGGTCGTCACCATCTGCCCGCATAGAGCGCCTTGCTCTCCGCATCCAACAGTATGCATTTGACGTACGACACACTGCTGGAAGCAGCAACCCCTCGGACTACCTTTCAAGACACCCAGTGCCACAACGGGAGACAGGCACTCGCATCGCCAAAGTTCCTGATGAGTATGTCAACTTCATCCAACGCCAGTGCATCCCAAAAGCCTTCTCGGTCGAGGAAGTTGTGGAACAGACTAAGGCAGACCAACAGCTGCAGCTACTGGTGAGAGCCATCCAGCATCCTCTACGTAACGACTGGCTGCTACCAGAACTAAAGCCATTTGCAGCTATGAAGGCAGAACTCACTTTTATACCAGAAGGTCTCATCCTTAGAGGGACACGCCTTGTCCTTCCAACTGGTCTCCAGAAACGTGCAGTGCAACTCGCACACCGAGGTCACCAGGGAATCGTAAAGACGAAACAATTACTACGAGAGAAGGTATGGTTTCCAGGCATGGACAACCTTGTGCACATGCTGGTGAAGAGTTGCCTTCCATGCCAAGCTGCAGTACCCCAAACAACCCAAGAGCCACTTGCGATCACTGAACCTCCCAGCAGTCCCTGGGAAAAAGTATTCCTTGACTTTGCGGGCATCTTCTACTCCGATTCCCTCAGACCCTGTCTCCGGATGAATATGACACTTCAATACTTCGCTCGCGGCAAAAGGGTTTATTCACTCACTCATTGCCTGGGGGGGGGGGGGGGGGGGGGGGTTTCGGGATGGGGGACGGTCAACAGCGAGGCCGGGGGAGAGTCCGCTGCCACAGCAGCTTCTCCGAGTCCCAGCGGTGGTCGTCCACACCGCGTCATGGGGACGTCGTCGTCCAGGGTCGCTGTACGGTCCGTTTGTCGAGTCCGCCACTCGACGTAGTGCCCGCACTCCCTGCGCCAGCGTCCAGCGCCGTCCGAGCTCGCCTCCATGACCGGTCCCTTCTGAAGTCGGCAGCCCCAAGCCCCTTCCTTTGTCTCCGTTCCCCTTTTAAGACCTTCCCAAGTCCTTGTCCCGCCGACCGTCCAATCGGGAACCGTGCTGCGAGCCGACCCTCCGACGTCAGCGCTGGGTGAGGGGGCGCTTGCCCCGTTCCTCCCGGAGAGCTCGGACGTTCCGCGACAGGACGGCGACAGGGAACGGGAAGGTCACGGGGAACGAAGGAGCGCCCGACGGTACGGCGGCGGGGACCGGCAAGGTCACGGAGCGCGGAGGAGCCAGGGAGAGGGTCCCCACAACTTTTGTGGTCCATTTCCCGATGGGAAATATGCAATGGTGGTGATAGATGACTTTTCGCGATACCCTGTGGTACAGGTCCTCAATTCGACAAGCGCACGCAATGTACTGAGCAACCTCCGAGCAGTGTTTGGACAGTTTGGCATCCCAGAACAAGTGAAAACGGACAACGGGCCACCGTTCCGTGGCACAGAGTTTGCTGAGTTTGCCCAAGAGCTGGGATTTCGACACCACAGAGTCACACCGCTATGGCCTCAGGCCAACGGTGAAGTGGAACGATTCATGAGGACATTAAAGAAACAGGTGCACACCAGTGAACTCGAAAACAAGGACTGGAAGGCTGAGCTAGATACCTTCTTGATGTCTTACAGATCTACGAAACAAGGCACAACAACAAAAACGCCTTACGAATTGCTGTTTGGAAGACCAATGAGGAATCTCCTTCCCCTCTATGCAGCCCCAACCCCAAGAACAGTGGACTCAGAAGGACTGAGGTCAAGAGAGCTTGCAAGAAAGGCTTACAACAAGCATCGAGCTGACACACGGAGAGGCGCTCGTCGACATCGCTTCTGGGTGGGTCAGCGAGTCCTGTGTAAACAAGCCCAACACAACAAATTTACGTCGTATTACGATCCGACCCCTTATACCATTACCAGCATTCATGGATCTCAGATCAAAGCATCCCAAGGCAACCGAATGATCACACGGAACGTTAGTTTTTTCAAAGATGCCTCCAGGATCAACCGAGTGCCACGCAGAGCAGAGACCGACCTAGATGACACTATGCCACCGTCCAGCACGGACAGTTGCATTTCAGCACCAGGGCCATCAGTGCCTGCAAGACGACAGAGCCCCCTTCATCGACGCTACCCCGTCAGAAACCGCAAGCCACCACGGCATCTTGCTGACTTTGCAACATAATCCCTTTTAAATTCTTTGTGAAGAAGAGTGAACTATTACAAAATGAAAGAACTCATCTCAGCAAGTGTTCAGCTGAACATCGACAGCACGTCATTTAATTAATTTTGTTTTGTTACTTTGCAACATTTTATTTGATGTATTAGATTCTCAATTTCATCTTTTCACAAGGAGGGTAACTGTAGTGTCCTTGATTTAGCGAAATCGACTATACGGGTTGGCAACAGTGGTGTATCAGAAATGGCGGATTAAACGAACGTAAATTACCACGCTGCAGTCCTCAATCCAAGCAATCCCTAAATACTCCAACACCACAACAAGGACGATTCCATGGGGAAAACTCAAGTGTTTGAGTGGTTTTCCCGTTTCAAGAATGGTGACATGTCAATTGATGACAAACCTCGTTCCGGTCGTCCTTCCACGGCACGAACACATGAAAACGTTGAAAAAATTCGTGCAATCATCAACGAAGATCGACGACGGACCATTGACGAAATTGTGGAGCTGTCGGGAGTGAGTTGGAGTTCATTGCAGCGAATTCTGACAGAAGATTTGGGAATGAAAAGGGTGGCTGCCAAATTCGTGCCACGACTGCTGACTGCTGAACAAAAGCAAGGTCGCGTGGAAGCATGCTGTGCTTTGAAAGAAGAGTCCCGAAGTGACCCAAACTTTTTTTCAAAAGTTATTACAGGTGACGAAACTTGGTGCTATGGTTACGATCCTGAATCAAAGCAACAATCAAGCCAGTGGAAGACTTCAGGTTCGCCTCGCCCCAAGAAAGCTCGTCAGGTGAAATCAAACATCAAAACAATGCTGATTAGTTGTTTCGATGTGAAAGGAGTCGTCCATTCAGAGTTTGTTCCGCAGGGTCAGACAGCTAACCAGGCTTTCTACTTGGAGGTTTTGAAAAGATTGCGCAACAGTGTGCGGCGGAAGCGGCCCGATTTGTGGAAGTCGGGTGACTGGTTTTTCCATCATGACAATGCCCCGGCTCACACTGCCTTGTCTGTACGACAATTCTTGACCAAAAATGGTATGACCCCTGTTCCTCACCCCCCACACTCACCCGACCTTGCCCCGTGTGACTTTTTTTTGTTTCCTAGAATAAAAAGAGAAATTAAAGGAAAGCGTTTTGCTGACGTTGCGGAGGTGAAGAAAAAAACGACGGAGGCGCTGTCAAGCATCACAAAAGATGAATTTAAACAATGTTTCGACACATGGATTAAAAGATTAGACAAGTGTATTAGTGCAAGTGGACAGTACTTTGAAGGAGATTAAACGTTTCTACTTGAAATGGGAATAAATAAGTGCAAAAAATTTTAGTTCGGTTTCTTTTGGGTCCCCCTAATGTATGTATATATATATATATATATATAAATATATACTGTAAAGTTATAAAGAAAAAAAGGACTGGGGAAATGAGACTAGACAAAGAAAACAAGAAAAAAACAGCTAGAAACAAAAATTAGAAAAAGAAAGAAGTTTAAAGAAATATTTAAAAGAGAAAGCAAGATTAAAAATTTTAGCGTTTAAGAAAACTAATTGAGGTATTGAAGTTTTGTGTCAGATAAGGCTACTGACTGTGCGCTAATGCAAACGTCTTCCCTGGCTTTGATGATTTGAGCCTCAAAGATCTCCCTGGCTCTCGGGTTGCGGTGTTGTTTGAGGATTCTGGTTTTAGCGAACCCAGGGGTGCATTCGCAGTCTCGGATATGTAGGGAGAGGTGTCCTGCCGGAAATGATTTTAGTGAAAGGGCGTGTTTACGCAGTCTGATATTGACATACCGGCGAGATTGGCTTACGTACACTTTGCCACAGGAGAACGAAATCTTGACCCTGTCAGGGTTCAAACCAAAAACAGTGAAGGCCAAAGCCCTACAGCTGTGTCATAGGCTAGATTTGACGCAATTGAGAAAGCAGATCACAGCTGCAAAAGGTGATCATCTGGAAATGTTTTTCTCAGCTAAAACCCACAAAGATGGCTGCCCCTTCCGCGTTATTGTCACTGAAAGAGGTTCTTGGCAGGGAATACTGTCTCGGTTTCTCTTGGGTCACCTGTCGAAACTCCAACTGAATGACTCTTTCTTGATATCAAATTGAGAAGCTGTTATACATTACGTGCAGCAAAATTCCACTACTCTACGCTTTTCATTTTCTCTCGACTTAAAAGATCTGTTTTATTCAGTCTCACACACGAAATTGTTCCCAGCAGTAAGTGAATATATCGAAGCAAATGGAGCGGTTTCTTTTCAAAATCAATGTAGCCTAGCGGTGGAGTCCTTTATAGAACTCCTGAGATTCTACCTTGCTTCCACGGTGGCTGCGTTCAACGGGAATGCTTACGTACAGAAAAAGGGAATCTGTATAGGATCCTGTGTAACCCCCGATTTATGCGAGATTTTTGTTTTTGTCCCAATGTGACCGGGACATCGCCACGAACCTGTCAAACAGCAAGGTTTCACGTGTCTTCAGGTATGTAGATGATTATTTAGTTCTGTTGAACGATATCAGCCTGGGCAAGGTGCTACGAGGGAGATCAACGACATACGCAGTACTTTTGTCGAAAGGGCTCAAGGATTGAAGTTCACAGACGAGTTGCCAAAAAACAACATGCTCCAATTCCTGGATTTGCAGCTTCTATTTCAAAGCAATTACACCTGTTGGATTTGGACCCATGGTCCAAAAAGGTTTCTATCATATGACGCGGCCCATTCTAAGTTAATTAAAAGAGAGATTGTAAAAAGCTGCCTGAACGCGTCCCTGAAGAAATATTATGAGCAATCAGCAAAGAGAAGCTTCGAGGCACAGGTGCAAAGGCTAGCTAGCTGACTCTGGGTATCCCAGTTCCATGGCCGTACCAACCGGGGGGAGGGGGGGGGTGGGGAGGGGGGGGGGGGCAAGCGGGGCGCTTGTTTCCCCCCCAGCTCTCAGAGTGGGGGGGCAAGGCATATGTTTTGCCCCCCCCCCCCCTGAAAGACGCCACTGGGCAGGGCAAACACTGGCCGGCGGCGCCCAAGAGATACCAGGGGCACCGCCCCCCGCTCCGAGGGAGGGGGGGGGGGGGGGGTCTGGTTTGCCCCCCTGCTCAAAAACAAGTTGGTACGCCACTGCCCAGTTTTATGGTGTTTTGTGTTGCTGAAAGTTTGGCAGCTTCTAACAGAACGACCTGTTTGGAAAAACCGGCCTGCTATAGTTTCCTACATCCACAGAATAACACACACAACTTGAGGGTAGCCTCCGGGTTCGGAGTCAATGCAGCTATATCTGTTC